TTCCAAAATCATTTGTCCTCTGCCTCAATTATGATCTCATTAGAATATATCTGTAGGCAATTCTAGTCCTAATGACGAATTTTCTGGAAATTTCGACGAAATATTTGAATACTTAAACAAACAGCTTTCCTCATGGTAACTCAACAGCTAAATAGTGAAATTCTGAATTTCGTGAATCGCGCAAAGGTTTGTCCCATATTAATTGCAGTACGAATCTGATCTAGACAGCGTTAATCTGAAGACCGTAGATATGAAGAAAAATAAAAAACGCTTTCAGTGGCAAAAAAAAATTACAGACAAAGAAATGAGAGATAATCACGAAATAAGAATAATTTATGGCAAACTAAGTATCTTTAATTTTTTTTTACGATTGCTATAAATATATTTTTGGAAACCTTTAAAAGATATGGTGAAATAAATCAGTCATTGCCAGCTAAGAATAGAAACATCAGCCACTTATTAGTGGAACTAACGCAATCAGGTGATCTGCACAACGTCTGAGTGTTTGCATTTGTTACATCTGTGTCTCAGCTTGGGATACACGCAGCTGTTAAACACAAATTAGCTCTTCACATCATTTTATTTAAAATATATTTATAGGACTTTATTACGGTTTTCTTGATGCACATTGGTTATTAATTAAAACAACAGCGTTTTAATTTGAGTTAGCTTATCCCCCAGTCATGTGAGGGAAAAGGAAGAAAGCAGTGAGCCTGGGAGGGGGAGGAGGGGGAGGAGTGGGCGGGTGGGGAGGGGGTTGAGAAGTAGAAAAGTTAAGTTATCTGCGACATGCTAGGTCCACAGGTAGCCCAAGATCGCAAAATGAGATTGTTAATATGCAACTGATTTTTATGTTACTTATGGGGCAAAATATCATAAAGGAATGTGTGAGTTTTCTAGGTCGATTTAATGTCGTTTAGCATGGTTTTATTTCATATGGAGGGCAAAACCAAGATAAGATAAAACCGGGCTGAACGGCTCGGAAAACCCGCGAAAATTTTTCCAAAGACCTAAAAGGGTCTTTTAACTACGAACAACACACAAGGAAATTCTTGAAAGAAGTTAGTGAAGTGTCTCAGTAACTCTTCAGTGAAACGACTAACGTCCCAGGCTGAATGTAAAATTTGGAAAGAATTCTGAAATAAAAGGATTAAGTTTATACATGAACAAAGAGCCTCCCTCTAAACTGAAGGAATGAGAAGATAAATTGAGTGTAGAAAGAAAAAGATAAACTTCTGTGGTTCGGCAGCGAATGGGATCAACAGATTAGAATTAATAAGGCAAAAGGGATCCACTTTGACAGCTGGGTATTTTATTGGCTCGGTTTTAGAAGTTAGAGCCTACAGAACAAGGGACCTACACGTATATATTTTGATGCTCATTATATCGGCTATTTGGCTCCGTGGTGGCTTTTATCATCAAGCATTATCCACAAATTTTAAAGGTGATTCGTGACTGTAATTTTGCCATATGAATTGAAGCTAACCTAGAAAAGGTGTTTTGCTGACCACGTCTAAAAAAACTGATTGACTCTAGATGTAGAGCCTTCACAGAGCAGTACGTCAGTAAATACAGATTGCCATTCGTGCCAGACATCCTCACTAGTGGGCTTGTTATGCTCCTCATTGTCGTTGTTGAAAATTGTTAAAACTTACCTCATGGTTCTCATCCGACTGACCCATCTATTATACCAGGTTTATTCGAGCCACTCAATCTATAAATTTTCCAGGTTCATGTAAGTCTCAACCTGCGTAAGTCTCCGCCAGACGAGAAAACTGATATCGTAGGAGCACACGTAGACCTGGTCATTCGAAAGATTAACGATTAACAACATTAATTCAAGAACGTTTTCTTGAAAACATATCCAATATCTTAAGTTATATTTCAACACTAAATTGATGAACTCCACGTATTTGTACAATTTATTTTTTTGTATTCTTTCAGATGGTCTTTTCACTCACACCCCGAATTCCTTCACTTTTCCACTTCACCGCCTGCCATGCTAGTCATGGTTGGTACTCTTTGGCGGTTTGGCGACAGACTTGCCGTTAAACAAGATCGACAGGGAGCCTAAACACATTGCAGAGCTGACCACTTTCCGGAAGTTCAATTCACAAATAGGACGCAGAGCGAATAATCAAGAATGAGACAGGTCGCGCAAGAATGCGTTCCCAATCTGCAACTTTTTCGCTCTGAACTATCATTTAGCCCCTTCCTGTGTGCGTGGAATAAACAAATCGCAAATCAATTCAGGTAGCAATGGTCAGTAACGGCTCTGGTGGGACAGTATTGCATGTATTTAAGCATATCATGGCTCAAGTCATTTGGGAATTGTTCCAATATATGACTACGTCATGACCTCAAGCCAAGCGTTTTCCCGTTTGGCCTTACCTCTCAGTCAATAACTATTTTGCAGGCCCATCACTGGTGGGCAGATGGGCTCCTGGTATTCCTCAGCTCAGAATATTTTCTAGCGATTCCTATAAGCATGTTCTCTTCTTATTTATTCACTCTTCTTAAACCTTCACGTGCATGGTTTTATACTTTTTGATTTTTATTTTCTTAAAAACAAAGCTGACGGATGTGGCCGCTGGTTTCGAACTTTAACGCCCAAAAAAGCGCCTTATTACAAGTTATACGTGCCTTAGACGTGATCAAACTGAAGTTATACGGGAAATATACTCAACAGGTGTTGACGTATTTATCTCTCACAGTCTCCTGTTTACGGACATAGCATTATTGCAGATCGTCCTTTTTGGGCCGCTTTACAGCGATCTACAAGCCGTGTGACCCAGGAAACAGGTCCTGACATTGTTATATTTGGATGAACATTATTCCTTCTAACAATTTCAATATGGAAAAGACGTAAAAAAAATAGAGTTAAGATAAAAAGATCCATCATATCGCTCTAACTGCCAGGATTGTTGTTGCAATCTACATCATACATAAACTAATCAATTCAAAACTACATGTGTGGATTGATTAACTACTAGTGAGCCGAACGTGTCAAGTGTGGCGGATAAAAAAAAAAACTTGGAAGGATACATCAGTTCTCATGATGTCAACACATTGAAACATACTTAATACTTCTCCGTAGTTATACGATCGGAAATCTGTCATTTCCTGTTTTTTAAACGGGCCTGTTTGGCTACTTTGACCAGACCTCGTACCTTTCTCAGTCCCTCAATCTGTTATTGCAGATCACAGTTAACCCAATGTACTCCTCGAAGGACAGCTTAGTCTCACGCACGGAGCGCAGTTGAACTATTACAAAAATTGATAATGTCGCTGTATGCGTCTTCGTTCAATATTTAGACGGCACGATTGATATGTATCTACATCTTCTACGATATCTCTACGTTATTGTTTTTGAAGACGCAAGTGTAACATACTTCCATTGATGCCGAGATTTTGATGTTGGCTCACCGTCTTTAGCGCTCTAGCGGCGGACCACTAAATTTGAATACCAAGAGAGAATACCAAGAAAGAAAAAAAAAGGTAATAGATTATCAAGAAAGAAAAATATTAGTGATAATAAAAAAAATTGTGGGCGTGTTCTATAGAATTCTGTCTGCAATCAAAGGCTGTGGACATTCCCAGTCTTGCATCATTTGGAGACGGCGATACACGAAAATAGAGTTCATTGAACCATTTCTTACCTATTCTTGCTGCAGGAAATTCTATGCTAAAAACTGTTTCACTCCAGCCCAAAACTGCATGGAAATAAATCCTAGGGAGTGACTTTTTTGAGCATGGACAAGATGGCAATCCTGTTTGGAAGATAGCGCTTGATTACGAACGTAGATTATCAATAGTGCGTTTAAATTATATAGGCTGGATAAGTAACTGCAACAAAATTCCACTAATTTCCGGCGTTTCATTGTTAATCTGAAAACTTGGCGACAAAACGGTGAGAAATTAAAGGGTTTGGATGTTGCCTTTGGCGGAAAAAATTATTAGTGTTCTAAAATAAAACGGTTTTGCTCGATGTTATGCCATTTTTGCCATCATTATTTTTATCTCATTTATTCCTTTTCGTTAATCTAAAATCGTTTACAAGAGCAGAAGTATAAAAAAGCCAAGAATATTCTGCACCGTCTGCTTACAAACTAGCTGTGTTCGGCATCATCAAATAGGGCCAGATGATCATCAGATGTTCTTGCTTCTGTTGCTTTCAGCTCAAAAAAAAATTTAAAAAATAAAAAAAAAAAATTGTAAAGTTAAAGATTTGAGGTTTGAATCCTTACTGTGGTCAGCTCAGAAAGTTTCACTGGGCTCAGCTGGCAGAGCATTTGAAATTCAAATGAGAAAGTCCGATGAGGTTTAAATCCTCAAGAAAGTTGATCAAGCTAACACTATCTTTGTCTTCCTCAAGGAAGGTCATCCAAACTTTTTACACTCCAGTTGTTGAGTACATTATAGTGAGATTGACTGATGTGAGGTTTGAATCCTCTCTTACATTTCCACTAATAAAGTTATGCACAACTTTTCATAAGATATTGTTGATCACTAAAATTGTTCGTATAAATCAATTTTTGAAAAGTTCAAAAAAATCTAAACACAATTACAAATTCTGTGTAAATCATGATCATTGGATCCACAAATAACGTTTTTTGAAACCCCAAAATAATTTGTAGTACAAGATTCTTCGTGAAATCCAGAAATCGCGCAAAATTGCCCATTGTTGGCTTCTGTAGGCTTCTGTATGTTTGGTGATGTTCTTCGGAACGCTGACCGAGGGAACCCTGGCACTAGACTCAAGAAAGTTTAATTAAAAATATGCTTGAAGACTGGTAACGAAAAAATATACCCGTTTTCCTTTTGCCTTCCTTTCTATAATTGGTGGGAATTCGTTGATATGTCGATTTTCAGTGAGATACGAATAAAAAAAGAGGAAAGAAAAGTACAAAAACATTGCCACTGGAGCGGAAAACCAGCGACTCGATCGACGTCAAACAGTCAAATATTTGATGGACTTTGAAACGGCTTAGCAGCCTCTCGCTCGATTGTTACGTAGCTTAACATTGCGAAAATTGCTAAGTAATTTAGTGAAGTTCTCGTAGACGCTGTTCAGAGGTGGAAAGGGAGATTTTATACCGGTATTTCTACAATAATGCTACGTTGTGGATGCCGCAGTTTGTCCCAGGGTCTTGCTTACTTACCTAAAACAAGAACAAGCCAAAGTTTTCTTGATGTCAGTCGGTAAGGAATCGTAACTTAACTTGGTGTTCTTCAATAGAGTTCTTGTTACATAAGCTAAAGATCGCCGGCTTCCTTTCGTTTATGGCTTGATTATGAGATGTTCAGAAAATAACTTGGGATAAGAGGCTTTAAATCGAATGATAGTTTATCTGTCCCTACGTTCGATTCAAAGGGAAGTGTCTGTACTTGTCGAAGTAATCAAATCCAATCGGTCGAGGTTAGTGCGTGATGTTTCGTTTCCGAGCTGTTGCGAGATTGGCGTTAGGACTTCTTCAAATAGAAATTGAAAGAAGACCAAAATAAACTATGACAACGAGCAATTAAAATTACAGCGAATCGGGTTTTCTCTTTGAAAGCCCTGAAGGTCAAGTTTCAATAGACAATGACCAGTACTCTAGTTCCAGTAGGTTTCTTCTCAATTTAATGTGAAATGTTGATGGTTTCGAACTGATCAGGAATCGATTGACTTCTAACTGGTTAGGTTTTGATTTTCAGTTATTAGTAATAGGAAATATTATTATTGTTTGGGAATAATGATAAAAGGATGCTCAAAAACAAGTCTTAGTGAATTTTAGCAGAATTAGTTGTAATTAAATTACATGTTTGAAACGAATTAAAAGGTGCTCAATTTTAATTGCTTTATTTTTCCAAGTATGCAAAATGCAAGTCAAGTTGTGTGGTTGGTTTTCAACCCCTTTCTACAACTGTTGATTTACTTAATCCTTAAACTTCCCAAAGTGATTAACAATTAACTTCTCCCTGCAATATCCCTACATTGTTCAGAAACCAGGTGACGAGAATACTCAAACTTATTAGGTAGATGTTGTTATCTTGGTCTAACACCAAATTCTCTGAACTAATTTAGAAGGAAATGTGTAGTAGCTAGAAGGGAGAATTTACAATCAGATCTTGGGTTTAGCTATGGGTATTACTTCACTCAAAACTATCACAGATGAGTTGAAGCATGTCACTGCAAGGTCGTGAAGTTTTCTCAGTGTACAAGTGAACTTGGAGGCAAGATTTCTCAGTTTGTCATATTTCAAGCCATTTGGATTTTGTTGGTTTTCCCTGGTATTTTTGTTAAATAGTGTTCTTCAGTATGTGACTTTTTCAGTTTATGATTGTGTTATTTCATGTTTGAACAGGGTGGCAGTTTTAAGTTCAAAATATAGAAGGAATGATTATGCTACAGATGTCAAGGTATGTGTGTGTATGTTTGCTAGCAGTGTTCATATTACATGTAATCTTCCCTGCTTTAAAAAAAAAAAAAAGGGACTCCTCACCTGAAAAAGGGTACCCAGGGCAAATAGAATATTCAATGAAGTTAGATTTTTTCGAAGTACATAGCATCCCCAGTGGCTTGTTTGGAGTAACCAAGGTACCTACATGTTGTATATGTAACTTTTACAGTTTCCCCACCACTAAATTGAAACAAATGTGTGTATAATGTATTACAGTGGCTGATTAATAATTCTCTCTGCCCTTTAAGGCTTCTCAGTCAAAGTCATTCGTCATGGGTTTATTTAAAGGTCAACTTGATGTACAGCAGGTGTTTCCTTTTCCAGAAGGTGAGATGAGGTTATTTTATGTGGGTATTTTTGTATTATAACTATAGTATGAAAATTGACAATTGAAAGTACAACACTTCATATTTCACAGTGTTCTATATATTTTAGTCTGACGTGAGCTGGTTAATTTTGCTTTATTACAGTTCTAGACTCTGAACAAGAAAGCACATTGAAAGCTTATGTTGATCCGGTGGCCAAGTTTTTTGAGGTAAATATATATAGGTTATAGCTGTTTTTATTTCAGCCCTTTGACAGCTGGTGACATTATTATCATTATTATTATTATTATTATTGTATGCACCTATCTATGGATCTCCAGATTTCAAGGGTGTAAGGGAGGGGGGCTGGGGGGAATTAGATATTTCCATGTTTTCAAAAAGTCAATTTTCCCAGCCTTGATAGTCATTATGTGTCAAAATTTCACCCCTGTGGACCAAAGATAAAATATACCTGTGCACATATTAGTTTTCCAGAAGTATAATCTAAAGAGTCCACTTGCACCATTGTTATATTTTTTTTATTATTATTCAGGAGAGCAATGACCCATCAAAGAATGATGAGATTGAAAAAGTCGCTGATGACACTTTTGAAGGCCTTAGAGAGATGGGTGCTTTTGGACTTCAGGTAATAAATTTGATAAATTTGGTTATTGTATTATTTTTTTCTTTTTTTCAGTGTCAGCATTCTTGACCTTTTATATGTAGAAGCTTGTATGTGGTGCTGAACAGAAATTCATAATTTTTAAATTTTCAGATATCCACAGATTTGGGGGGCCTTGGTCTTACTAATACACAGGTAAGCTGTTCATTCCAGCTTCTCGTTTTTTTTGTTGTCCCTGAAAAATTGGAGTCATTGACAATCAGTGGAAAGATTAATATTCAATTTTTTTTCTCTCTACTAATGTTTTTGCCTTTTCACCTCCAATTTGGTAGACCAAAAAAAACCAAACAACTTTCAATTATGAAAGTACAAATTTTAATCCCCTTGCCCTTGTTGGCATGTCTGTTTCAGTATGCCCGCCTGGTTGAGATTGTTGGTTCACACGACCTGGCAGTAGGAATTACCCTTGGAGCTCATCAATCTATTGGATTTAAGGGAATTCTTCTCTATGGAAACAAGGTATAGTCTACATGAACATGCATAATACATGTGGTGTAATAGCAAGGTCTTATTTCAACCACTAGTTCACTAGAGTTCTTAGCTGCGAGGATCTCTTATATTTGTTTCTTCACCACAGTGCACATATATGAATTTCATAAATCTAATATCATTATTCATCACTTGGATGGTTTATTTGGACCCAACATATTGACGAGCTCCCAGTTGGCTTGTCAGCTGAGTTGGTAGAGGGCTGCACCAGTATCGCAGAGGTCATGGGTTCAAATCCCATATGGACCTGAATTTTTTTCAGGTCTTATTTCAACTACTAGTTCAGTAGTGTTCTTAGCTGCAAGGATCTCTTATATTTGATCCAAGGACAGTGTTTTTCTTTGTCTTTTTTTTACATTAATTTGTTGCATTTTGATGACTTTGAGAGGCATACAGGTACAGTAAAAGTATCCTCTCTGCTGAGAAAGTGGTTTCTAAGGACATAGCAAATTGTGCCTATGTATGTCTTGGCAAAAGGCAAAAATGAAGAAAATTGTGAATAATTTTCTCAACACTTTGTGTTAAAAATGTGTTGATTGTGTGTAAAATGCACTGGATTATGCTGAAATTTTTCACAGTATTGTTCATTTGGCCATTCCAATACATTATATACTACTTAAAAATGTTATGTGATTTCACAGTCATGTCGTAGATCTCATCTTGATGTGCTTTGGTTTGGTAAACGATGACATGTGCATGTATCTAGGCAAATTAGCCTTGTGCTGTGGCTGTGTTTCTTTTTTATGATTTTCTTATACTTGTTTTTCTCTTAGGAGCAAAAAGAAAAGTACTTACCATCAGTAAGTAATGGTGATGTTGTTCTTTCCATGTGCACAAATGCACAAATGCCTTGTATTTTCACTGATAAATTGGTCTCATTTTTAGGATTTTTTTCATGTTTTAAATAGTACTGACCATGATATCATTTTGATTTTCCTTGTTTATTTTCTCACAGCTTGCAACTGCAGATAAAGTGGCTGCATTTTGTTTAACTGAGCCAAGCAGTGGATCAGATGCAGGGGTGTGTACCTTGTACATGTGTGTGACTTTGATATCAAATGTAACTTAAGTTAACTCTTTGTTCAGAAGCGATGACAAAAATCTCCTTTAAAAGCAGGCACATTTAATTGGTAAAAAGATGGTAATATGGTAACGGCTTAAAATACAAACTCAACAACAAAAACCTCCAAAATGTAACTAAAACTGAAAAAACACATAATATGTGTAATAATACGTGTAACTTGCTTACAAACTGGTCAAATTTAAATGTCTCAGCACATGCGCGCTAATTGCATGACACGTCAGTCAGGTACTTTCTTCTTAACACTCATCAAATGCTCACATGTGGGAAATGAATAGTATGAATTGGGCAGATAGAAATTTAGGCCTCAACTTTTGCAACACCTTCCCATTTATTGTAATTGTTAGTGCTCTATTTACTTGACAGTCATCAGTGAGTATACACCATTTTCCCTTGTGGTGTAAAAGTTAGGTAGAGGTTGTCGAAGCTCATCAGTTGGTGATACATTGAAGAGAGTTTGTATTCCTTTTTTTCCAATGTAGCAAAGCTGAGACCAACAGGTCATGAAACATGAAAACTGTGAATGCTTAGTAAATGAGGTGACATTTTTCTTGTCCTAGTCAATAACAACACACGCAGAGCTTAGTGAAGATGGGAAGCATTTCATCCTCAATGGAGGCAAAATATGGTGAGTGCACAATTTTACAAGGACTGTACACAAGATGGATATAACATTCTTAACCCCTTTCCCTTTCCCTATCCTTGTCGGCGGTTTTTATTTAAATTGGCCACTCTGAAGAGTTTATAAAACTGACATTTCAAGCAATTACTATCTGTCAAAGGGAATGAAATATCTGTGCCCCTAAGCTTCATAATTATAGAATAAATCCCAATGGGATTGTGTCACTACTGGAGTGGTCTTTTCAAAAATTGAGCACAACATTCTCTAGCTGTGAGTTGTAAAGTACCTTGAGTTATTCATCAGTTTATTTTAAAAATCAAATTTGTTGGTTGTTGGATGTAGGGAAATATAGGTTGTAATGGCAAGAATAGAAGTAATACTTCTTATCACATGTACAAACTTTTGATTTATTGAATTGTTTATTTTGTTCCTCAGGATTAGTAATGGGGGCTTAGCAGAAATATTCACTGTCTTTGCCAAGGTACAGTTTGTATCGTATTTTATTTTAAATACAAGCTTTTGTGAAAGTGCTTCCACTGTTCATGAAAACATTCATGGAAACTTTCCTTGAAACCAGGTCAGCCAACAAAGGGACATTTGCCTGCTAAGATTTGTAACAGGACTTTCTTTTCTTTAACCTCTGTAAAAAAAATGTCTTTTTTTCACTGTAATTGCACCTTCTCTGCTTGTACCCTACCAATGTGAAGAAAGCTGTCAGGCTTTTTTGATCATTCTATGACAAGCAGTACATTTATTTGTTATGGTTACCTAACAGTACTGAGATCAGTTATTAGCAAACTCTGGTATAGAGTCAAATGATGTTTGAGAAATGTTGTTCTTTTAATGAGCATGTTTGCTGTTCATTTTTGTGCAGACGCCATTAAAAGATCCAAAGACAGGTGAAATGAAAGACAAAGTGACTGCATTTATTGTAGAGAGAAGCTTTGGAGGAGTGTCAAGGTATTGCTGTTTGTCAAAAAATATGTAACATCCAAAACAAAACAACAACAGGAAAAAGAATGTCTTTTGTTGACAAATTTTTATCCATTCTGTCTATTGTTAGTGGTCCACCAGAGAAAAAAATGGGTATCAAGGCTTCTAATACTGCTGAGGTAAGACTCTTTACTGATTTTTACAATACAGGTAGATACTGTACCCATGTACTGGTGGAGAGGATAATCCTATTGACGCAATTCATTAGTCACTTTTTTAAGTGTTTTCTTCTATTTGTTTTTCTTATTTGACTTTTGTTGATTTTAAACTTACACTTCTTAGCCTTTTAACTCCCAAGATTCAATTATTAATTCTCCCCTCTGGCAGCTACACATTTCCTTGTAAATTTGTTACAAGAACTTGGTGTTAAATCAAGATAACAACTTCCATGTGATAAGTTTGAGTATTCTCATTACCTGTTTGCTGGATAATGTACTGATATTATAGGGAGAAATTATATTTTAATCACTTCTGGAAGTTAAAGGGTTAATTAAAAGTATAATTTATAGTTTCCATCTCTGTGACAAATTTTGTGTTCTTTTGACAGGTTTACTTTGATAATGTCAAAGTACCAATGGAAAATGTATTAGGAAGTAAGTGCACAGTAGACATACCATTATTTATTTCACAGATCGATTTTATTTTTTTGGTAGTGTTTCTTTAGTTATGTATTGTAATTTTTATGCATATTAAGGTTATGGAAAAGTTCTTCAGGTTTCTTGCATCTCAATAATCCTTTTGAATATCCTTTTTAAAATATTTCTTTTTCTTTATGGTAGATGTCGGTGATGGATTTAAGGTTGCTATGCACATTCTTAACAATGGAAGATTTGGAATGGCTGCTGCTTTGTCAGGCACAATGAAGGGACTTATCATGAAAGCTGTAAGTATTTTATTATTTATTCATTTATGGCTTCATAGAAAAAATTTAGAAATTTCTAATTTATCTATGGATACATTGGGAGGGAGTTTGAAGGATTCTGAAATTAGAGGAGCCTGCATTTTTTTTCCTGCTTGGGTTGAGCATCAGAACATATTTGTGCTGTTTTTGATTGAGTGTTGCTTATGTTATTTTATGATTTGGGGAATGTGTGGCCTGTGACCCTGAAAGTAATGCTTGAATCAAGTGTGGCAAAAGTGGTGTTATATTATGTGCACAAACACTTGTAGGAATGCTGTTAGAGTATCTAGTGTGACCACTTTCATGATAAAGAAGCTCTGAAGCACGCACCTGTACATGTAAAGTCAAGTCATCTTGATTTGTATTAAAAAGGGAGTTATCATGATGTAAAAAGTTGGTCGTCTGGTGGGGATCCATTCCACTTATGTGGTTGTGAGAACAGAACAGAACAAAGAATGACAATCTTAAAATTTTCTCTACCGAAGGCTGATCATGCTGGGAGCAGAGTCCAATTTGGAAGTAAACTGGAGAAGTTTGGAGTTATCCAGGAGAAGCTTGCAAGGATGGCCATGTGCCAGTATGTTACAGAGGTAATTTTAGGAATGAGTCTTTGAGTGCTTGTCTACTTGAAGAAAAAACAAAGTAAGACAAAAACAACAATCATAATTATAGAGAAACTACAAACAACTTGATCTAATCATGTAACGAAAAAAGATATAAATCAAGAAGCCAATGGCCATTGAGAGTAAATTCAATAAGTTGGCCACAAGCTTGAGAAAAGGCAATGACCAAGTCGCTGTTACATGTAGTTTGAGTTTTATATCTTACTAGATGCAAAGGTTGCGTGAGTTTTAAGACCAATCAAAGACAAGAAAACCATTGCATTGAAAAAAAGACGAACGAACAAACATACAAACAAAACAAAGAAAACGGAATAAAGAAAACAGTTACGTTGAACGAACCGTGTGTTTCAGAATATATTCCAAGGTCAACTGGAATACGAGTGGTCGAAAACCAATATGAAGGTCTTTTTTTGTGTCAGTGGAAAGTGTTTTTTCGGTTGTCTTGAACTGAGTAACAAATTTGATCATCGTCTTTTTTTATTCCAGTCAATGGCGTACATGTTGAGTGCCAACATGGATCAAGGGGCAACTGACTTTCAGCTGGAGGCCGCCATCAGTAAAATTTTTGCATCGGTAAGACTAGAAGTAACTGTGTATAGGACTCAGTGGGGTAATAGCGACAGCGTGTTTGACCCTGCACTTTGGTCAGGGTGAGAGGGTGACCTCTGACAAACAACTGCGTTGTGGCTTTAGAAAGACACCTTACTTTCACAGTGCCTCTCTCTCTCTCTCTCTTCTCTCTCCCCTTCCCCCCCCCCCCCCCCCCCCCCCCGGGGCATAAATGGCTACTAACGAACTGTCTGGGTACATGTACCTAAAAAATGCTGCAAAGTTTATCTTGGATGCACAAGCATCCCATCGGAAGGGTTTAAACATATCCCCAGTTGTTTCATGCTGTTGAAACCGTGCATAAGTACTGGTGCAGTAGTTAAGGGTTACCCCGCTCTTAGACTTAACCTGCCCAACCACAGACAGCAACTTTGTTAGAAAAGGGACAAATTGAGTAAGAAAGTGATAAAACATGACGACCAAGCGCTTTTCTCGATCGCTTTTTTTTTTTTTCTCATACAGAAAAATAAAAATTTTCTTCTTGAAATTCTCAACTGAGGTTGTAAGAAATTATTTAAGTTTCTTGAAACTCGATTCTCTTACCTAATTTCTGGAAACAACCGAGGATCCAGTTACGAGGCAAGACTGTCAGCAACCAGTGACCGTTAGTGTACCTGTAAACGCGTGATTAAGAAAATTCTCTCTCTCTCCAGGAAGCAGCATGGTTCGTGGCAGATGAGTGCATTCAGATTCTTGGGGGAATGGGTTACATGAAAGTGAGTTATGTTCCGTTTAATGATCTTGAGCGTTACCGTGTACTGCAAAAGGACAGCAGGTCTCTGGAACTTCCTAGAGCACTCCAACCAACTATTTTCTTCGTTTGACGTTTTTCAGGATTGTGGAGCTGAACGCGTCATGCGTGATCTTAGAATTTTCAGAATATTCGAAGGTACCAATGACATTTTGAGGTTGTTCGTCTCCTTAACTGGCCTTCAGGTAAGCTTACACGAGTTCTGGTTTTGTTTAGCATACATATTGTTTTACATTTTTAAGAAAAGTCGACAATTTTTGATATTTGAGAATCTTAAGATTTTTTTTCCGATGAGAGGCGTGGTGGTCGGTACCGTAAAATTTTAATATTGAATTAGAAGGCCCATGTTCAACTTCTGTCGAGTTAAGGAGTCTCACTTAACTATTATGGTGCTTCATAAACCCTTTTGACCCTAACATCAGTATGCTAATTCTCCTTACTGTTCTCTATACATTTTCCAAGGCGCTTATTAGGAGAACTTGTTTCATAATTCAGGGCGTAAAATTAATTTTTTTTTCTGATAGCCACCTGGCTCCTAAATTCTTCAAAGTGGTAGCCAATTCAAAAAAAGTTGGTCGCCATTTTCAAAGACAAACAAAATCTTTCTTTACGCTGTCAACGTTCTTGATAGACCCTCCAAAATTAAGTTAGGGAAAAGATCTTTAGCGTGCTACAAAGTGGACACTAGGATGGATGATATACAGCGTTCAGGCTCATCTAAATCCAAGATGACATCTAGTTATCGATCGAGATGCATGTGCTACGTTTTGGAAACAAACTTAACGAGGAAGTTTGCCGCGGATTTATCTTTGCAAATCTTTTTAATTCACTATATCTCTTGGTAAGGTTATGATGAAACGTTCTGGACGCCAATTTGGCGACTAACTTTCAGGATTTGGTCGCCAAAGTGAAAAATTTAGGCGCATTGGCGCCTGTATTAGGCGCAATTTCACGCCCTGTAATTAAGAGCTCTTTTTAGTTGCTGATCATTTCCTTTGTTCCTGCGACCTTCATATGTAATTCAAGGGTGATATTGTAAGGAGAAGTTACATGCTGGTCATTCTTAGGGTCAAGGGGTTATTTCCTAAATGCATAAATAGACAGTAGCATTTTGGGCTGTCCTGGAATCCTGACGATAATTTCAACGTGTTTATCATCCAGAAGAATAGTTAGTTGTTATGGCCTTTTGTCAATCTTCTATCGCTAACCGCTGAAAATGAGTCGAAAGCCAGTAAACTTATAATAAATATTCTTAATAAATGCGATTATCAATTTTCTCAGGACGCTGGAAAATACCTGCGGGAACTTCAGAAGTCCTTGACAAATCCTGCAAATGTTGGGCTGATTTTATCTGAAGGAATGAAGAGAACAAGAAGGTATAAACACTGCTAGTGTTAGTTACCTATCGCGATATTTTCATGTGTTGTTGTCCTATTCTGTGTATACAATTAATTTAACCGCCTTTATTTGGTTACGAAAAACCAGGGCTGTTGGGTTGAAGTCAGGACCGTCTCTAACTGAACATGTTCACGCGGATCTGGCAACTTCCGCCAAGCTGGTGAGTACACGAAATAGGGGTGTGTTGTTTTTTGTAGAGGAGCTGAAGGAAGAATGAGGAAGAAAGAATGAAATTAAGGAATTGTGAAAGAAAGAGGCAAGGCTGGGGAGGGAGAGGCGCGTGTGGTTTTAGAGCAGGGGGCTGTGTGATTTTGAGGGAGGGGGAAGGTGGGAGGTAGTTTCTTACGCAGCTGTTGTTGCAACGATTCCTTTTCGAGAGAGATGGCGTAACAATGGCTGTTTATAAGATTACCTTGTAGGCTTTTTTCTTGTAGAGAGTAAAATTTAATGTAGCTTAACAATTTTTTTTCTTCAATTTTTTTTCCTTTTTTTCTGTTTAGTTGTCGGAAGCTTCCGGTGACTTTGCTGTGACCGCGGAGAAGTTGTTGATTAAACATGGCAAAAACATCAGAGGTAACTAACCGTTGACTTCGCTCGTAGCCACCATGTTAATTAATTTTCCCGTACATAGACATGTAATACAACGTATGGAAAAAAGATCAAATCCTCCTTTAATACCGACCGTCCAAATTGGTCGGCTGAGGGAAATTGCAGGGCTGAGGCGATTGTATGCCCCGTCAGTCGAGATGTACTATCGTTTCTCAAAACGAATAGATTACATGTACTGTAGGGCAATGAGATGTTTGTATATACATATACCATCCTTGTTAAGTCCTTTACACCCTCATATCGGTACACTGTATGTAAATTCTCCATGCCGTTCGCTATACATTTCCGAAGGAGCTTGCAAGGAGAATTTAGAATCTGATAGTAAGGTTAAATCTGGAGGCAGTGATCTATTTGCTGATTTTTTTTTTTTTTTAGTTTTTTATTTATTTTTTGATATTTTTTATTGATTAAGCAAATTGCTTCATTTGCGTTGTAGAGTTCAGTCGTTGAGATCATATCTGTAAAGGATGCTTTTGTTTTTATTGTTACAGATGAACAGTTCTTACTTAAGAGACTTGCCGATGCTGCAATCGATATTTATGGCATGGCAGCGGTGCTTTCCAGGTAAGATGCGCGTTTTTTTTTCTGTCACTCTAAAGAAGGCACGCGATATACGCAATCAGTTATTACCAGTTACGTTCCTTCGGGTTGATTCCGCCTACTGACTAGATGTTTTAGTACACTGCTATACGTATAAAATCAGTTTTTGTTTCCCGAAAGTTGCAAGGGTATAAAAATGTTGCGAGAGATTGTGCCTTATAGTAAATACTTCGTTTGACTCCTTACAGTACAGTTCAAGTGTAATCGAACCAAAATATGCGAGTAAAACACGCATAGCACGCGTATAAGATCATCTGCATGATAGCATATACATACGAGCATACGCGTATATACTCACACGTACGCTAGCCGATTGTTTTCCCTGTTGTGTGATAGTCAACGTTTATTTCAATGGGCATTGTAATCGCAATAAAAACTGGTGTTCAAGCCGTTATGCCTTCGGTTCTTTATTGATTTTGCTGTTTATTCCACCTTTACCGCTTCCTTTTTTCTTTTTTGTAAGATGGTTATTTCATCTTTCTTTTCTGTTCCACAGGGCTTCCCGATCCCTTAACAATAAAGCTCAATCTGCGCAACACGAAGCTATGATAACAACGGTTTACTGCGATGAGGTAAAACAATGGTTTAATATTTCACTGTAGATATCAGGTTTGGAAGCACGATGGAAGTTCTCCCAATTGACTCTCTCGTAAGCGTAAAACTCTGCTTGAAATCTTCCCCACGAAAATCTCTTAATCGTTTTGCGTCTTAAAACCATCGATTAAGTGATGAAAAGAAAGTTCATAGCGTATACAACTGTCATATTTCAGTATCACGCTCTCCCCCACAGAGCTTAACCTTAGAGATCGGACAAGAGAAAAGTAACCTAAAGAGTTCTGCCTTTGTTTAAGTGATATCAGTCTACCTAATTATCACTACACTGTTCGCTTGTCTTTTCACAGGCTTTTGACAGAATAAGGCAAAATCTGGGCTCCTTACACGACTCCAATAGAGTCTCGAACGACACCAAGATGTCGAGAATAGCAATGGACGTCATCAAGAATGTGAACACAGTTCCCAATCATCCCTTGGGGTTCTGATAATCCCACGGATAATTTAACTCGAATAACGCGTGGTCGACCTTTGGATGATGATCTTCCTCAGAACAGGCTGTAATTAAGAACAAAATGTCTATGAAAATGATTTGCTATGGCTGGGGATGGACTCAGGATGACGTCACGCAAATCTACTGATAACTGTTACACATTTCTTTTGATAACCGTGCATCAGAACAGTGCTGTCATGCGTCATTTTTTATGTATAAGTAGCAAGTTGGAGTCTATAGTTTCTGTAAACACTTATGGACGTGTGTACTTAGCGTAGAAATTTCAGTGCGTAACATGTAGTTTAATTCCCAGAGAGGTTTCTTTTTGAAAAATTACAGTCAAATCTAGAGAAAGACATGAGTAAAGGTGAAATAATTTTATTTTAGTGGTGACAGCAAACAGACTCGAGAAGCAAGAAGAATGCAAGCCAAAGAAACCACGTCTCCTACCATTTGTCGTAAGATGAAGTAAATAGTATCTGGTCAAAAAGAGTAATTTTATGAATGTAACGGCACACCTTTTTGACGTTATTTATCTGGCTGGTCCGTGTAGAACGCTGTAATAAAGTATGTGTCGATTGGTAACGTAATATCAATGGTGTTTTGGTGGCACAATGTATAAAACTTGAGGAAGACTTTATCTCTGGTTCGAATTAGTTGGATGTCCACTTGGAGAAAGTTGACTGTAAGTTTCTCGGGGCATTTGTTAGCAAGACCATGAACGTAAAGATCTCGTTTATAAATGGTGGATCTGAGTTTTTGTTCCTCTTGTAGATGTATGTGGAGAAGCCCTTCTTGCCTCCTTAGAATGCATAGAAACAGTAAAAGCGAGGCCAAAAAGGATTCCTGACTGCTCGTAAAAAGTGATCATGCTCGACCTCTGAGAAATTTTTGCTAAATTCAGTCGAAGCTTAAGGACTGAGTGAAGTATGGTCGCATTGGCGGATTGTTAGTGATCACTTTGTTCATTTCCCAGGTGTCTCCTTTTTTCAATATTGAAAAGAAAACTGCCGCGAAGGTAATCAAACAGCAACATTGCTGGTCCGCGAGAAAAAAGTGTCAGAAGAGAATCGGAACCCTTAACTTCAATTTCAGTGTTATGTTTTGTTGTGCTTTGTTTTTGTTTTTGCTTCTTTTCGTTTAGCACGAGGGTGAATTCGGGTAAATCGAAAATCCTCCCCTCGAAATAATGTATACGGTGGATCAACGCGCCTGCTCATAATTTGTTTCTCGAATTTATACTGAGTTTTAAGGATCTCAGAATTTTAAGTCAAAGAAGAAAAAGCACTCGAAACCCATAATTTTCTCCCTTTTTTCTCTTCTATTTTCCATACTTTGGGCGTTCAACAATATTGTACGCACACATCGCCTGCTTACTTGCGCCAACGCAATTCTTGGATGCAGAGGTGCACTTTTCCATCCCGTCAGTCACACACTGGTCACTTAGTCCATTCTTATTCACTGAGGATTCCTTTGCCATCCAGCACTAACCTGCATGAAAGTGTTAAAAGAAACAGAATTTTAGAAAGGTTGGTGAGAAACTTCTGACGTATCAGTCTAATTCGGTCTCTGCAGCCGTGCACACTGCCCAGCGAGACCTTTCGAGCAGGTGTACTAATAAGTAACGGGAAAGTCGTTTTCTCTTTTGTTTTTAGTGCCATCCCTCTAGTTTTTTCTTGCAGTCTATGCAGGAGTACCCCATAGAGAACATGACTGTTAACATTGCTTGTGTATCCATCATCACTTCTCTATTTCCATTCAAAGGCACAATGGCGTGTTTTTTTACAAGTTTTATTAACCCTTTAAATCCTAAGAGTGACCAGCATCTAATTTCTCCCCTCAATATCACTCCTGAATCACACGTTAAGGTCATGAGAATAAAGGAAATGATCACTGGGGAAGGCTGAATCTTTTGATTGGCAAACAAATTCTCCTTCTTAGCACCTTAAGAAATGCATACAGAACAGTGTGGAGAATATGCATTCTGATGTTAGTTTGTGAGGGGTTAAGTTCGGTCACTCCTCGTTCAAATCCTTCCCACCACTGTTATAACATTCAACTAAAGGTAGATGCATTTTTTTTTTAACTTAACTCTTACTTACCACAGTCATCCAAAGCAAAATACTTGTACCCTCCTTCTTGTGCTTTCTCGCCGCATTTATATACACGGTCGTACATTTTGTCATTCCATTCCTCGAAATCGGCCACATCACTGCTGGGGCATGCAAAATCCCCTTCTATCGATAGCTTATCCGTTACTGGACGACGACCCAAGTGGAAGTCTTTGTAACATCCAATGTTACCATAAGTAACGGGGCACAACTCTATTACTGGATCTGAAAATTATATTTACATGTTAGGGTGAAAATTTTGCAAAAAGGAACAATTGTAGTAGAATATGTGTTAATTGTTCATCGTGGTTTAAGATAGGAGATGAACTTTATTCGTATGTCTCACGATGGAGTCACCTTGGATGTTGATCGCGACGTTTCGACTGCAATACTGCTAGTCTTCATAAGCCGATGAGGTCGATTGTTTACAAAATTCAAGCGATATCCCTATAAAAAATTCAATTCACCGTTTGTTCCGAGTTGACCGGAAATTGTTCTGGCGGTTTGGCTTAAACTTTTCACCCTAATTCGGATAAGTTTTCCATTGAAAACTTAAAGGCATTTTTCGAAAACTCAGTACTCCAAATTGGATTGAAAACACTGGCTTTGTTTTGTAAGCCTCATTCAAACTCCACCAGAGATATTTGAATATTTGAATAGGCCATTTCATTTCTGGAGCTAGGTCAAACGTTCAACCTTATCCGGACAAAATATCCATAGAAGAAGGGACTTTTTGAAGAAGCTCTGTAAATCTGAGCATTTTGCAGACGAGGCCTATTTTTAGAAGAACAACAATTTGGAGACGAACCTTTCTGAAAAGAGTGATCTTATTGCTCTCAATTTTCTGATACCCTTTACTTGATGCATGTCTAAGGTTGTGTAAAGTTACACTTGAACGATTCTGCCGCTGTGCACCGTTACTGTGATCAGGAAACATTCACATTTTACCTACTAACTAGTACCAAATGGAGCTTATTCATTCTTGCTTTTATGCATCAATAACTGACCACGAAGGCTAACGAAGACCAAATACACCGAGCAATAATTTTTCAGTGAAAATATCAAATTAATTATGTGGCAAGGTAGCCCTGAGGTAAACACGATCGTCCAGATTGGTTCTTATTCGGTATTTTGCCACACGGACCGTTTCCACGGAAATAGTTAGAAGCAGATCTTTTTGCTCGGTAAAGCCCGTAAATTCAAAATAAACAAGTTTGATCCGAGTGCCCAACAATAAGCTACTTTCTAACCTCGCAATATCGAGCCATACTGTGGAATGATGGCCCTCGGTCGTTTTTGTACGGAAATCTCTGCGCACGGTCCGTACTGGACATCCGGCCATTATTCCCAAGTACGGCCCTCGGTTAGTAAGAATTTGATACATCACAAATGGATGTTGTTTATATAACACGTGCACTGCTAGTGAGGTGAAAATTGCGAGAAAAGTTTTACTGGAAAATTTTCTTGAAGTACACGAGTTTACGAAGTTACTTGAAGTTTACGAGTTACTGAAAAACATTCCAGCATGACAAAATGAGATCAAGAAACAAAACCAAAAAAAAGGCTAGCGGTTCATTCTATCTGCATTGTTTGGTAGTTCATCGAATGCTCTGAGTGTTTACAATCACAATGTTAAATCTTTCTTCAGTTCATGAAATCGTTTTATTAAATGAGTGTACAGCTTTCTGAATTCCCTTTGTATCTGCCTTGCCTAGATAAAATTCAAAAGCAGATGTTTTACAGCTGATCAATGATAACTCAACTGATAAATGTATGCTCGAGATCAAAGATAGATCACATTCGTTGTACACTATAAGGATAAAATGCACTTTGTTATTGTATTGATTTTCACCATTTTATTCGAGCCAGTTCCTTCTCAAGGTAAGAGTAAAGTAGTTAAATATGTTAAATAAATAATAATTTATAAAACAATATCGCTCAGTCATTTTACTGATTACCTAAGCCAAACAGATTTTTTTATTCCTGGTAACTATCTTTTGGTATTTTAGAAAATCATTTTATTTACAAAAGAGTCAAGTAATTGTATGGATTCGAAAGGAAAAAAATTGTTTCAGATTGTGATCTTCTGCATGATGACACGTTGATACTAAAAAAATTGTGGCTATTTCTTCAATTTTTTTTAATCATAAAGCAGACAAAGCCTACATAGCTGGGATGCACAGATATGTCTCGTTTCAAGATTTCAACACACATTTCATGACTTTTCAAGCGTTCATATGTTGCAGTTTCTGTTTTGTTGTTGTCTTTTGTTTGTTTGCATGTTTTTTGGTCAGATTTCCATTCTTTTCATCAATGAAACATTCAGCAAAAATAGCAGCTGCTGTTCTTGATTTGTTCAAACAATTTCAAAGTGTACTCGTCATTGAAAAAGTTTTTTGTCTTTTCAGATTAGTGAAGTTATGATAGCGGTATATTTTGACTGACTTTTCGTTAAATTCATCTTTATAACTTATTTTTCTCCTTCCTACGTCATAGCTCAATGTGGACGTCGTCCTGGGACCAGAATCGTTGGGGGCTCGACAGCGACGCCTAATTCATGGCCCTGGCAGCTGTCGTTAAGACTGATGGGAGGCCATACTTGTGGTGCGTCCCTGATTAGTCCCCGATGGGCCATCACAGCGGCTCATTGCGTCAGAAATTATATTGATCCACACTTGTACAGCCTCGTAGCAGGTGAGGATAGACGTTCAAGAAGATGGGCTCAAAGGAGATTTGGATATTTTACGAAAAATGAAAAAAAAATTGAAAAAGCTCCGTTTTTCAATCATGTGCAAACTATTCTCGTTCATTTCGGTCTGCCTCCTACCTTTCTGATATTTCCTACCCTTACAGACGACTTTATCAGGCACTGGGAATGACAATAGATATTGTGAAGTATGTATTCTCTCTCAAACACTTATTTATGCGGCCGTTGTAAGCCCATGATAAAGCCCAAGGGCTTAGAGTAGCTGGGATAGCACAGTAGTGAAAACAATCACCTCCCACTGCTATGGCCTGGGTTCGATTCCCGGACCTGCGTCACATGTGGGCTGAGTTTGTTATTGGTTCTCTCCTCGCTCCGAGGGTTTTTTTCCGAGGTTTTTGGTTATCCTCACACCATAAAAGCTAACAAATTCGATTATAATTCTTCTTGGAAACAGTGGACAAGAAGAATCACCTCGTCAAGAGTTCATTGCCAAACTCCCATTGTTGTTACAATCATTTTCATTATATTTCTCAAAGTACTCACCTCGATCAAGGATTCGATAATAATTACTATATATATCTCCTCTCTGAGTTTCGCTTTTTTCTTATCTTGATAAGTGAGCACAAACCATATCAACTGTTCTTTAAAAAAAATTCTATTAGGGGCACACCGAATACGCGGAGACGGAGTCACCTACCGCATAAACAAGATCATTGCGCATGGCGGATTTTCAATGAGTCACCTTAGGAATGATATGGCGCTGTTGAGGCTCGCTGTACCCGTGAAACTCAGCAATAAAGTAGGGACTGTGTGTTTCCCTAAGAGTGAATCTCGTATCTCCCCGGGAAGTCGATGTTGGATTTCAGGTTTGCGCCCATAATTCTAATCAATTTATGTAGTTTCTTGCCTTCGTGGAGAAGACTTTCAAAAGACAACCAGAAATAAATAAGATGAGTTTATAGTTAAGTAAACAGAATAAAGTCAAAAAACGTTTCTTTATGTTTCATCATTTTTTGACCGTTTCTAACATGACAATGACAGAGAAGAAAATTAACAAAAACAAAGAAATAAACGATCCAGGCGAAGTCAACATCAATATCGGGAGTCTCTCTCCACTTGTGATCTCCGTAGAATCAACTCTTCCGTCTCTTCCTGGCAAATTTTCATTCTTCAAGTATCTGTATATTTTTCCCTTTAGTTGGACTATATATTTGCTGTAGATCTGAAAATCATGGACTTAGTTTCTAGTTCTCCTCTGCTTCTTGTTGCGTTTGTTTGTTTGTTTTTCAGTTATTTTTTTCCCTTAACCCTTTATCTTCTATGAGTGACCAAGAGAGAAATTCTCCTTACAATATCAGCATAATGTTAAGTACAGAAGTGAGGAGAATAAAGAAAAATATCACTTAGGGATTACTAGTTGATCCAATACTAAATTCTCCAATTTGACATAATAACAATTGTATGGCAGACAGTAAGAAGAATTACTAATGAGATCTTGGGAGTTAAAAGGTTAATAATTCGTTCCAAACTCCAAGCGAATGCCCTAAGTTTGGGCGAATACCCTGACCCTGGTTCAGTTTGAAACAGGCAAATGGTTTGAACTGGACAAGAAGCGTGTGGCTTTGGGAGGACGCTAAATCATTGACTCTTCTTTATTTGCTGTATTTATCTAGGGTGGGGTGCCGTCAAGATTACCTTCTGGGGAAATCACAAATCGCCCACACACCTTCAACAAGCCAGCGTTCCAATTGTGGACTTCAATACATGCTCAAATAAGGCTGGGAGTAGAGTTCATGATGCTACCATGGTTTGTATCGGAGGAGGTGGAAAAGTGGCATGCCATGGGGACAGGTAATAAATAAATGATAATAAGTTATTTGACAGAGCCCTATCTCCCCGCTTACTCCCCCATTTCAAAACAAAAAAATGAGAAAATGAGGCTATTTAGTTAAGATAAGAGAAAATCGAATGCCCTCTTTAAAGAAGCATTCGACTGTGAGCAGGCTTCCGCATTTTTGTTTCGTGGAAGTCACCACTCAAAGGAAAATGTAACGACTACCACACGCCAGCTGATTGTACCATGGGATAACCTGCGACCAGATTTTACTCTTAAACTGCCCCCAAAAATAAATCTGTTAAAACAAATAAAAATGCGCCAAATCTTGGTTTATACCCAACAGCTTTTGAGCGACCCGTCCCTGACTCAGTGTAAGGATGCAGCATCTTCTAAATGATATTGTGTTTCATACTTTGTATAACGCTACTGTCTCATGTTTAAGTGGAGGTCCTCTCGTTTGCGAGGAAAATGGACGGTGGGTTCTTCGTGGTGTAGCATCTTGGACGGGCGATAAATGCAAAACTGATAACTATTCCATGTACGCCCGTGTTAGCTACTACATAAACTGGATAAACCAACAGATTGCGAGTAAGTTTATTTATATCTATATTTGCCTGAGACTTTCTAAGGCAAAATGTTGGTTAGCAAGTTTGTCTGTTTTTTTTTTTTTGTTTTGTTTTGTTTTTTTTTTATCTGTTTGTTTTCGTGCTATAAATGAAATGAGCGTTCTTAATTCCCTCTTATCTTCTTGATTTCACTTTCAAGGTACCGGCGATGGAGATGATGGAAAAGGTAAAGGCTGTTTCTAAAGAATGTTGAGACATTTATCTTATTTGTTATTTTCATGTTGTCTTGTTTAGTTTTGTTTTTTTCTTCGCTTATCTTACCCTTCTCCTGATTCCATCGGTAACCTCGCAAGCTACAAGTCAAAATAGCATATTGCTTGTCTTTTTTGCGTGCGCATTCCCTCGCAGAATTTTATTTCACATTTTAACTCAATCTTTTTCAGACTGCAAGGATGCAGTACCGTCCCAAAGTTGCCAGGGTTATTTGGTCTTCTGTCACACTCCCGATGTTTATACAAAATGCCAAAAGTCGTGTGGATTCTGCGCGTGTAAGTATCAGAGCAATACAAACTGACCAATATTTTGGGTTTTGACGAATTATTATGGACTTCTGGATTTTGATGTAATCATGTTTTTTGTTTTGTTTTGTTTTGTTTTTTGTCACAATTCGCATTCATACGATTACATTTTGTTTTAGAACAATCCTGACTCTAGGGAAATGGAGATCGTGACAACTGACCGAGAAAAATTGAAGTTATAGCTGATTGAATTTACAATTGTATACTTCTGAGCATAGCAATGGAATTAGATCAATAAAGTTAAAATGATATAACGCTGGAGGTATCATTTTTATTGTGAATTTTTAAAAGGCTTAGCTACATAAGCTCGTGATGAATGCAATTTGCAAGTTCAAGTATTTGACTGAAACATCGGCCACTACTTAGACAAGAACTAAGACATCAACAGCGAAATTTGGCCACTCTTACTCTGCCAAAAAGAAATTATTCCCTTTAGAGCAAGTTGAATATGAATAAGTAAACACCCCACCAAAACAAATTCTTTTCTACCAAAGTTACCACAACATGTGGTTGAATTTTCTACTTCGAATTATAAAAAGAGCGCATTAACATCAAGTAAAAATAATCGGAATAAGAGCATGCGGGATCTCCTCTAGTTTCTTATACAGGTGCACAGCCATGCAGCGGTTTCCATAGCTAGCTTTCCTATGTTGGTTATCTGCACCTCATGTAAGCTTCCTAATGAAGTCTGATCCAGAATTTCGCTCGTAACTCGTTCTTCATGCATCTAAGTATTACGTTCTTCAGTTTCTACGATGAATATAGTCTATTTTACAAAAAGAAGACCTTGTTTATTGCTGTAAATGCCACTGAAACTGCCACAGGGGAATCCATACAGCACTCGATTTGTAACTAAAGCAACAAAACGTTTGATGAGAATTATAAAATAACAATCATCAAAAAAGAAATGATTACCACTGATAATGACGACAACGACATACTCATGATCATTGTGAATATGATAGCCAAACATCGTCATAACACAAGAGACATAAGATTAAGAAAACCATAATATCTACAAAAAATTGAAAAACATAACTGAGATGTACCATTAACATCGTAACTGTGGAAAAATGAATGAGCATAGCTATTTAAGATAATTGAGTACAAAACGATAGATTGGAGCTCACCATATTTCGAAGAGAACCAATTGTGACCACATTCACCGTTGTCGTGCATATCGAACACTGGGATATGAGAAAAAAAATAGAATATCGCACAATATAAAGTTCCTGGGGGAAACGTGCAAATACCTGAAGTGTTCACCATCAGAAATTATTTAGTTAAAGCTGCTAATTTCAAAGTTGGAGAAGCAACGTGATAAGGTGATGTTTAAAATTTGATACCTTACATTGCCAATTATGCAGCAATCCTGATGAAATTACTTGCACTTACTCATAAATGTTTACCTCTATAGCAATGGTTAGGAGTATCAGTGATCTGATAGCCAAGCTCCGTCCCCTTGCAGTTCGATTCCCACTGGTAGGGATATGAATGAGACACAATCATACGAGGACAACTGAAACAAAAATGATAAGAAATTATGTTGCATTTAAGAGAGGTACCAGGGTTCTGGTTGGTATAGGATTGTTCTATGCAAGGAGGTTATCGGCCATAGCGCTAATGGCATGAGAAGATAAACAAACAAACAAGCAAAGTAATGCTGTATTGTGAAACAAAACAAACTCACTTTTATAATCTCACGGCTAGTACTCGTACTATACCAATTTGCATTTTTTGTCTCCTTATTTTTAATGTCCGGGAATGATATCAGTTTACTTCACCTGCCTATTATATCGATTCATTTCTTTGTTCGTAATGCTCGTTCAAAATTCTCCTTGAGCTAACATGTTGCTTAAGCATTTATAATCTTATTTTCGTACGCGTTTTGTTTTAAAGGGGATTTTCTTCTTCGAATCGTATAATTGACACCATTATACAAGTACCTTGCTCCGAAGCATTCAGAGTTAAACAGATGCGCTCCAATAGGTATCTGTAACAACAAGGAATTTGTAATTAAGCATTTGAAAATGCTTCAATAGCGTCACGTGTCAAGGAGTATCCCGACAGTTTGACTTAGTACCCATGCCTTCATCAGTCCTAGGTGGAGAGACATTTTAACTTACGGCAAAACTCAGTGACCTGATGACGCAGCAGGACTCGTACCCGGGCAGTTGGAGTCAAACTTAACTCTTTCTGTTGTTGGGAGTTGACAATGGATCGTTAGAAACCAAAAAATAATAATTTTACCTTAAAGAAGGCTGTGAAACCATTCGATACCTGATCAACTCGAAATGTCCCTGGTAAGAGAGAATTTATGAAAAGAAAATAATTTCACCATTGAAATAAAAAAGAATAGTAGAAAAGAACAGATGCTTGCAAAGATCTTGGTTTCGTAAAACTGTAAAGCTCCTTGCTTTTGTTCGTTTATCTTACCTTCAGTAGTTGCAATAGCATGGATGTCTTTATCAGACATTTTTCTGGTTGGTATATCTGAGGAAACGTTCTCGACGCATCGGTTTGGGAGAAGGCAGTTTACTTCCGTCCTCAGCAGATGGTTATTGTTTGAAGACGAGATACTTGCAACAAGGGTCCAACCTCCACCTCACAATAAAGTCGAACAGAAATGAAACAAACCAAACTCTTGAGCAGTAAAGAGTACATAATATTTTGGGGGACAAAACTTCATGCGAGCGTCATTCTATGATGAGCACGTAATACCTGTTTAAACTTTGTGCAAACTTTATGTTATATTCATGTGAACATCTTAAAAGTCGTGCGATGTCCGTGTTTCGCATATTAAATTGACCCCAGTGATAGGAATGAAGACCAATCGGCCACTTTCGCGACCATGGTAATAGTAATGAATAGGAATAGCAACGGTTGTGAAGAGAAATACAATAGTTACGAATTACAGACTTTTCGAGAACATCTGGAAATCATAAGGAAAGTGAAAAAGCTCTAATCGAAGAAAACTTTTTAATTATTTTTTAAATTAATTTGCGAACTGTTGGGTTCATACCAAAATTAATCATTTCACAGAAAACTTCCTTCTTCTCTTGCCAGAGTTCAATCCAATAGTAGCCTGACTCCGCGTTAGAGACAATATCCTTAATACTGGCGCAAGATTTCTGAAATCATCAATTGAAAGGACAAACAGCAAAGATATAAGTTACATAATTATGTATTTACCGGGTAATAATATTTCTACCCCCTTCGCCCCAAATTTCTGAGACAAGACAGCATGGATTGCTAAAGAAAACACGTGACAGAATAGACCGTTTCGAAATTTCGGAAGGAAGAGGAGTGTCGAGCGTAACCTAGCACTAAACGCCAGTAGAAAATCTTTCACTATGGAATAGAGGATTCAGTAATGCTACAACGTTTGCGGGTAAACTAGTATTTCGATTACGGGATTGGCTTAAAAACTACACTTTTAAAGTTATGCACTGAAATTTACCGTTAAACGGTTAAGATAAACGTTTGCAGATTGAATCTATTTTGTTCGCGTTTATTTTTGCTTTTTCAGGTGTCGCGACTTTTTATAGTTCAACAATTCGTTGATGAAAAAATTATTTCGTGATCTAAGTTTACCTCCTTTTTTATGCATAACAGTAATGATTTGTGTTGAATGCTTCTGGAAATTAAGATTTTTATTTGGTAATCGAAGAAGTAAAGTACTAGCTCCTACCATTTTGACTTTGGGCCAAGGATTATCAAGGTAAACGTAACCTCTGGCTGGGAGGTAGTTGTGAGGAGCAATGTGGACATCTGCTCTATTCAGCTCGCAGATTTGACCCAGCAACTTGTAGTTAACGCTCAAGCACTCTTGGGTTTGGTTGCAGAACTGCGCGCATTCTAGCATAGTCTCAGCGCGTCGTTCAATTAGCACATGTCCCTCCAAACGGTATCTTTGGACCGAAGATGTTTCAGTGCATTTTGATAAATTACAGGACGCACTGGGCTGAATTAAAATCCAGATGAAGGAGTATAACAACATGTTCAAATAGTCTCAATGATTCTGAGAGAAAATATCGCATAGTTTTCCTTCATCGTGCTTTTGATCCACTCGGTAGCCGCAATCCAAACCGTACCTGGAATATATTTCGTTTGCCCAAAAGAGGCAAAAGAGGCTTCATTGCGCTTAATAATTTAAAGTTTACATACTATACAAAATCAACGCGTGAGTCCTCGTGGGTAATCAGCGAAGAATTTTTAAACATTGGTTGCCACGCGAGTGTAGTTGTTACTTATTAATCAAATTTGGGTAAAAATACTTTGGAGAAAGGAAAAGATCGCATTTAAGATTTTTTTCTGTCCTTTTTTTCCTTTTTTTATCTTTTCGTTTATTTTTCTTTTCTGATAAACTACATTAAACTACATCTGATTGGTTAAGGTAAATGCAGTGCAAAAATAGTAACAAACCAGACTGAACCATTCCTTGAACTGTTTAGCCGGACTTTGAACTTTCTTGCGCCTCAAAGATGTGAAAATATCATTGTGCGTTACTGTTTTAATCGTCCGCGGTTGTTTTGACCGAACGCACAATGCCAGTTGCAGGGTTTTAATAAATCATTTTTGCACTTGATGCGCACGCTTTGCTTCTGCATAATTATAATAGGCTATTTCGTATTTTTTCATGTATATTATTGATACGAAATCGCA